TGGTCTGAAGAAAGTTAAAGTGAAATCTGGAGAAAGGGAAGCAGATTTTATCTAAATATGTGGAGATACATGGAAGAACTTTCTAGAAATTGCATTTATCCAAAAAGGCAATGTCAAAGGGTAGTAGGCTTCCTGTCCCTGGAGGAGGTCTTCCACACAGGGCTGGACCATTGTACGATAATGGTGCTGTTATAATATTGAGTGCTTGGACAAAAGGGTATCTGAGACCAAATGCAGACTTAATGCATCATCATTAGAAGAGGACTAAAGATACAATCATGGTCAAATTGAAAGTCCCCATCCTCACTTCCCCTCTCCCAATTCCAATCTCTAGGAAAAACAAAAAAGAGTGGTTTTCCTTCTAAATCCCCTTTCAAGATATTATCTCACCAATCATGCGTTCTGAAATTTCTATTCATCGTGAACATCCTTACGTGGCTCACAAATAATTGCCCTCGTTCCTTTTATCAGAGGCATGATGTGCCGCAGATGACAGGGATGAGAATCATCACTGCGCATGTATTTTACACATTCTGTCCTTCTTTGCATATTCCTACCTCTCGACACCAACTCTGCTAAAGACAGTTTGTTCGTTATTGGTTCAGATGAATTTTGCAAGCTTATTTATGGTATTGTCGCCTTAAAACTCCATACATGGCTTTAGGAATGTACATGGTTGAATCTGTCGTATCATCTCTTTCAACATCTGCATTTCCTATCTTGCTTTAGAAAATCTTTATTATCGCCTTAGCTATGGTCGCAATAAAGCTGTATAACAAACCACCCCAAAATATAGTGGCTTAAAAGTGTAATCATTCATGCATCTATGGATTAAGTATTAGCTGATCTAAATAGGGTGTGTGGGGTGCCTGGGGGGCTCAGTTAGTTGAGCGTATGACTCTTGATTTTGGCTCAGGTCATGACCTCACGGTTCATGGATTTGACCCTGAGTAGGGCTCTGCATTGACAGTGTGGAGTCTGCTTGGGATTCTCTCTCTCCCCCCCTCTCTCTCTGCCCCTCCCCTGCTCATGCTGTCTCTCTCTCTCTCTCTCTCAAAATAAATACATAAACATTAGAATAATAATAACAATAATGGTGCTTGGCTTTAAGCTGTACCTTGGTTCAGTTCTGCTCCATGTGTCCTTCACCCTCCTTGGATCAGTGGGCTGGCTAAGACATGTAATTTTCATGGTCATGGTAGACACACAAGCTAGTTCATGCCTTTGCTCATGCCACATCCACTCACATCTTATTGGAAAGCAAGTAGGGTGGCCAAGACCAATCCTGACCGGGGAGAAGAAGAATATTTAGAAGTATATATCACACTGGGAGATTCCACTAGATTACACCTCTAAAATTTAAAAGAAAGATAATCTCTTTCTTTTTTACAGCTTTTTAAAGCTTTCTGTTTTACAGCTCTGGGGTTTTTTGTTCCGTTCTTTCTCTATTTGTATTGAATGATGGGTGTATGTGTGTGTGGATGTGCATGTTAGAGATGTGGCATTAAACAAGGGAGTGATCCTAGAATGTAGTGTCAGGAGGTCGGTGACTGCATTAGCAAGGGCATGTAAATTATGAAGGATAAGGGAATCGCCAGACCTCTACTTTCCAATCTGGAAGGCTGGTGCTCCATGTGGAGGGGTTTATGTAGAAATTCATCTCAGTTGGAGAGTTGGTCACAGAATATGTAAAATGTGGGTCTCGGTCCCAGAGAGCTTGTCAAATGGAGGGATTTATATGACATTGGTTTTAGGGCTTTGGTTGATGGTGGGGAATTCTGCTCAGGTTTTAGCCCCATCAAAATACAATCATTTTCACAGAAAGCCCCCAAGAGGCAGTGCTAATGGACCAGGGGCAATTTGAGTTCAAAAACTGGAAATATAAAAGCAATAAAGAGACAGCCTATAGGCTGAAATCTGGAGCAGTTTTCTTCATCGTGTTTGTCCTGGGAAGGGTGACTCTCCACCCCACCCTCCCTGCCATGCCAACCTCAGGAAGCAGGGGGGCTGCCCAATGTCCTTGAGCAGGACAGAACCATAATACACACTTCCTTAGGCAGGTAAGAATGTGGCTCTTGTTTGGGGCGCCTGGGTGGCGCGGTCAGTTAAGCGTCCGACTTCAGCCAGGTCACGATCTCGAGGTCCGTGAGTTCGAGCCCTGCGTCAGGCTCTGGGCTGATAGCTCGGAGCCTGGAGCCTGTTTCCGATTCTGTGTCTCCCTCTCTCTCTGCCCCTCCCCCGTTCATGCTCTGTCTCTCTCTGTCCCCAAAATAAATAAACGTTGAAAAAAAAAAATTAAAAAAAAAAAGAATGTGGCTCTTGTTTGTTCAATACCTATTTGCCAGAGAAGCTGAGCACAAGGATGAGGGGTGTGGGAGTGAAGACCACGGGGGCTGGGCTGGCTTCTCCTCTACCATAAGGCACTACAGTAAAAACCTTGGTTTGTGAGCATAATTCGTTCCCCAAATAGGCTTGTAATCCAAAGCACTTGTATATCAAAGCGAATTTCAAGAACCATTGACTCAGTTATGGTCATGTGACATTCGGCATCCCATCCGCTCGTTTATCAAGTTAAAATGTATTAAAAATGTTTGTTCGTCTTGCACAACACTCGCAGAACAAGTGGCTCACAGTCCGAGGTTTTACTATATTCTGCTTGGCCCCAAACATGCGTACTTCCCTTAACAAAACAAAAGCCCCTCAGTTAAGCAGATTCATCATCTGCAGGACACTGCTTAGCACAGGTTTGGGGGATCTTATGCTGTAGTAAGAGGCTGATGAAATATCTCTTTGTTTTGAAAGGTGTCCTAAGGTCGATGGCTCTGTTTTGCTGGTGCCACTGCGGGTTGCCATCCAATTTAATAGCTCCCTATAGCTCACTGCAATCCCTGACCCATCACCAGAGAGAAGGAGCAGCCTCAGGAGTACAAGAAATCAACTACAATAGCCTTGTAACTTGGGCTAATGCTAGGACTTGCTCTATTTATCCAACACAGGGGCTGTTTGTGACAGGAGCCTAACCAAATGTTAGCAATATATCCTGGCTCTTACCTCCAGCTTGGAGACCTGGTTTACATACTTTCCCTGTGCAATTCTAGGTGTCCTATTCCTGATCAGTGCCTCCGGGTGGGAGTCAGGCCCAGCAGAAAATCTTTTGGGGGTGCTATTTCTCTTTTTCTCAGAGCTTATCTTTGGGGCAATGCAAAAAGGGGGCAGGAATAAGGCGCACCTGGGATTTCATGCCTTAGCAGCCCAAGGCTTAAGGAGTTTAGGCATTTACTTCCCAAAGTGCATACCAGACCTCACATTTGCTCTGGACAGCCTAGTACCTTTCAATCACATACAGTATTCGCTTTGAGAGGAGCACCCTTAAATAAAATCTTTTCCATCTTCTTCCATTTCTCTAAACCTTTTGGCGCCCGTTGGACATTGGCATCTCACCGAACTACCCCTCCCCTGCTTGAGGTGGGACCGTGCAGGCTCATCAGAGCCTGTAGGAACCACAGCTTCAACCCTTTCAGCATCCTTCTGTAGACGCGATTCGGATCACGGAGGACAGGGAAATAAGAGAGGGCTCAGCATTCGACCACGTGTGCTGAGTTCTGTCTGTGTGCCACGCTGGGAGAGGAGCCCCCGAGGACAGAAAGCTGGGCGATGCAGGGCCGTGTGATGAATATACAGAGCAGCCCCACCGCCGATCTGTTCCCTTTATTAAGAACAGCGAGTGATCTAATACTTTTCATTCGGCTGTGGAAGTGCTCAACGCTGACACTTTGTAAACACACTAACATCGGCTGAAATGAGAGAAGTGAAGGATTATTTCTAGTTTCGCAAGAGACTGTCTTTGGCATTGTGGATTTATTGATAAAGGCACTGCCGTAATATTCTGTCTTCTGGATTCCATTTTAAATCGTCTTTCTCTGGCCCACAATTATTTGCTCGGATGGAGTGTTGGTCAGGATTCTTTTAGTTGCAAGGGACGGAAACCCGGCCCCCACCAGCCTGAGCAGAAAAAAAACAAAAAACAAAAAACATTCCACGACATCGTCAGTGTTTTTCTGACTTCTCCCTGCCATGCCCGCCCTCCCTCTTGAACTGGCTCAACTTCTCTGTGAGTTGATCCTTGTCTTTCCTCCCACAACTGGGTTTCCTCCTTGTAGCCAGGGATGATGGCAGAGTCCTGGCTGATGTGGCTGCAGACAGTTCCAGGCTTATGGCACCTCCACTTAACGCCAGAAATCAAGAGAAAGGTTATCTATCACTCTCCTGAGTTTAGATACAACATCCCGGGGAAAGTTCCTAAATTGCCTTGCTTGAGATGGGCACTCACCTTTCAAATGGGCACTTACCTCACAACTCCAGATGCACATTTGTTTGGGATGCTTTTCAAAGTGTCAGCCCTACGCCCAGAGATTCTGATTCATTTGGTCTGGTGGGACCTGGATGCCAGTATTTTTAACAGCTTTCTGCAGGTGACAATAGCCAAGCCTGACTACTGCTTGAGACTCCTTCATTTATTCTTCAAAAGTCAAGTTGGAGTGCCCGCGCTGTGCCACGCAGTATATTACATGGTGATAGAGACGCGAACCAGCAGATAAAATCGGTTCTCGTGAAGCTCACACTCCATGGAGGAAGGCAGGCAATAAAACCATTAATAAATGAGTAAATAAATAGTGCGAATAAATAAATAAGCACTATCCAGAGAATAAAAACAAGACCAGAGTATGGGTAATGAGAAGAAGCAAGCCATCAGCAGCTGGGGAGGAAGAACATTTGAGGCAGAGGGGACAGCCAATGCAAAGGCTAAGCGGCAGGAACAGATTGACCTATTCCAGAAAGAGAGAGAAGGCCAATGTGGCTGAGATTTGGTGAATGAAGAAGAGAGCAACATGGAGGAGGTCAGAGAGACAGGCAGCAGGGAGCCGTCGTGGAACTTTGCCGTCAAATGTTCTACCACTTGTCACGGAGCTTTGTAAACAAGGCCACGGAATATGGATTTTATTGTATAAGCAATAGGATGTCAACAGACATGGAGGAATGATCGGCTCTGATTTACATTTTCAAGTGCTAACTCTGGCTGCTGGTTGGAGAAAGAACTAGATGGGGCAAAGAGTAGGAATGGATAGACCAAGTAGGAGACAAAAGCAACTGTCCAGGTGACCAGTGATGTTGGCTTGGTCAAAGTTGGTTTTGGGGAGAAGTAAATGGAGGTTTTGGAGGTTGACAGGACACCACACATAGCCCTTTAATTGTTCCTTCCACATCCTCAGTGTCCAGCGTGGGGAGTGGGGGTAACATACTCCAGCCAATAGGTGCTCAAGAAATATTTGTTGAATTGCCAGAGTCCAGAGGCCTGAAGATGTAGGAGAAGGGACAGAAATAAAACTGAACTTGCAGAGGCACCGAACAAACCTCTCTAATGAAGCCCGGGGTTGGTCACAGTGCTTCACACATGAAGAAGGAGAGCAGACGGAGACTCCAAACGTTACCAGAGGACAGACAATTTAGTGACTCTGAAACCTGTGCAGGACACAAAAATCCACATCAGAGACATGCAAAGTGGGCATCCTGCTCCCGGGCAAGAGGCTTGATGTGGGAAGACACTGCACCACCATCATGGTAAAGAGGAGTTGAGCCTATACTGGTCCCTGTCTAGCCAGCACAGCACCAAAAGAATCAAATATTCACTGGTGACATTAAGTAGGGATATATACCCTGGGACCCAGCAATCCTAGCCTCGGTGTGTTTTGCAGAGAAATGCTTACGTAGGTCCACAGTGACCCAAGCAAGGATGTCTGTCATGACATTGTGTGGAGTGGGTAATGGCGGGCTAGGAGTCACTCGTGGAAGAGTGGATGAGTAAACCAAGGCCAACGCAAACTATGAACCGGCATGCAGTCATTAGCAGCCTCAAACTCAGTGTGTCCAGAACGACGCGGGAGACCTTAAAAATGCGGTGTCCATGGGGCGCTTGGGTGGCTCAGTTGGTTTACCTCCTGACTCTTGATTTCAGCTTAGATCATTATCTCATGGTCAGATGTGGAGCCTGCTTGAGAGTCTCTCTCTCTCTACGTCTCTGTCTGCCCCTCCCCCACTTGTGCACGCACACTCCTGTGCTCTCCCTCTGTCTCTCTCTAAAAATAAATTGTGTTCAGTGACAAATGGAAGAACAATACCACACACAGAACATAGAACAATACCATATATGCCAATTAAAAACATGTACATAGGGATGCCTGGGTGGCTCAGTTGGTTGAATTTCTGACTTTTGATTTCGGCTCAGGTCGTGAGATTGAGTCTCATGATTAGCTCTAAGTTGAGCATGGATCCTACTTGGGATTCTCTCTCTCTCTCTCTCTCTCTCTCTCTCTCTCTCTCAAAAAACTACACTGATGGTATGCTTACAAGGAAACGTGTGTTTCAGGGCACGTATTAAATACATGTGCACATTAGAGTAGATGCCAACGAGGACGAGGAACGGGAGTAAGATTGGGGATTGTGGAAGGGCAGAATAATGCCCCCACCCCCAGAAACGTCCACAACTTAATCCCCAGAACTGTGGATCTGTTTTGTTATGTGACGAGGGGGAATTAAGGTTGCAGATGGAATTTACATTGCTAATCAGCATGTAGGGAGATCAGCCTAGATTATCCAGGTGAGTCCAGTGTAACCTCCAGGGTCCCTAAGAGTGGAAGAGGGAGGCAGGAATGTGGGTCGGAGAAAGATGTGACTATTTATGAGTGATGGCAGCATAAGTAAGGATTGGGCCCAAAGTTGCCAGCGTTGAAGATGGAGAGAGGGGACCAGGAGCTGATGGAGGTGGAAGGCCTCTAGAAGCTAGAAAAGGGGAGGAAACAGATTCTCTTCTAGAGAGTTCCAGAAGGGAAGGCACCCTGTCAACACCTTCATCTTATCCGGGGAGATCCAAGTCAGACTTCTAGTGTGCAGAACTATAAAACAGTATATGTGTGTTGCTTTAAGCCTGAGTTTGTAGCAATTTGTTATGGCAGCCTTAGGAAATGAACCCAAGGGTAAAGGGGCTTGCATGGGCTTGTGATGATACGCAACATGCATTGAACTGTGGAGTCTGAAAAAGTCTGCCCTCCTCGTCCAAGGTCTAAGACAACGCTGTTAAAATTGAAGGGAAAGAAGAATAAAAGAAATCCCCTCAATACATAACACCAGATGTGATGGGAACAGCAGATCTGGGAATGAGCTCTCATCATGTCCCAAAGACTGAACTAGAACTTCATAGGCCTGAACCCATGTTTGATTCTTGGAGGGTAACCTGCTAGAGGTACTGGGAATGGCCAATCAGGCTCACTGGTCTGTCACTATTCCATGAAGCCTGTCTGTCCCTCCTTCTCCAGGGAACATCATTGTCCACCTCTTTAAACCTTCCCAATCTCTTCTCTTCCACCCCCAGCCCCCATCCTGCAGCACCTGTCTCCGGGACCACAGTCAGCCTCAAGGACAGTGTCTAGGGCACAGCAAATCCTGTGCATGGGGAGCTGATCTTGTTGACACTTAAGGAATGTCCTGACTACCCCGTTGCCCACACCATCCCAGAGCTTTTGCATCAGCGGGACCATTCATAAAAGAGCCCTGGGACTTCCACGAGCTATTTATTCTCAACAACTCAGAGCAACCCTTGGGGACCCAGTGTGATGTTTGCGCGTCTAATTTCCGTGAGCTATTGATAAGAGCCCACTCCAACCAGCTAGTTGTCAGCCTTGACTCCAAGGGCCTGGAAAATGTACTATTTGCAATTACTTGAAAAGAAACTAATTAGCTTTAAGGAGGAAACCATAGGTAGAAATGACTGAAATCAGCTGTTCAACTGTGCTTGGCAAAAAATTAAAAGGAGTAGGCGAGCGTACCTCGCATTGGTCTCACTTGAACGAAGAGTGGGAAGAAGGGCTAGCCTTGCAGAGGGAGTTTTCTGCGGCATTTTCTCTGCAAGGAGAGGCCTCTGAGCAGAAACAGTGTCAGCGAAGCTTTTGGGTGGCTGAGAGGTTACTAAGTGACCTTGAAAGCTACATGCGGACTTTGTTCAGTGGCAGTGATGAAAGGTATTTCAGAGAGTGATGATAAACTCGGGACTTTAGAAATGTGTACTGATGTTCATGGAAGTGTTAGATTTCTGCATTCGGTATGTAAGTTTTGTGTTCTCCTCAGAAGTGGTCATCCTGAGTCATTTCTCAAAACGGATTTAAAAACACTACATTACACTTTCTCAGAGCCTAGCACTCTGCCTGGAATACAGCAGGTAGTGATGTAAAGGGGAACAGCACCCTGGCGTGGCCTCGAGGCCACCTTGAATGCGAGAGGAGCAGGTGTCCTCGCGGGGGAGTGTTGCAACAATCCAGAGGAGGGACAAGAGGCAATAGCAGCATCGGAAGTAAAGATGCTTCCAGATGCGAACCAGAGCAGTGACCTGTATTCTCACCGTTTACAGTCACAAGGGAACTGTGCACTTTCCTCTGTTGAGTGCTTGCCATGTCCTATGATTTACATGTGTCACCAATTGTTATTTCCAGTTTATTCTTAAAAAAATTTTTTTTTATTATTTACTTTTGAGAGAGAGATACAGGTAGAGCACAAGTGGGGGAAGGGGCAGAGAGAGAGACACACAGAATCTGAAGCAGGCTCCAGGCTCTGAGCTGTCAGCGCAGAACCCGACGCGGGGGATTAACTCACAAACCACGAGATCATGACCTGAGCCGAAGTTGGACGCTTAACCGACTGAGCCACCCAGGCGCCCCGATTTCCAGTTTATTCTTGAGGAAACAGAAACAGTGACTGTTTCTGAGCCCAGAAGGAGACTCTGGGGAAGGGATATGGGGGATACGTAACTCATTCGGGAGCTGATTCCAGGAAATAACCGGCAAAGACGTGAAACATAAAATAGCGAGGGGAAGGAAGACAACAACATTTGCGTTCTAACTGATTTATGATGGTGGACAGCCAGAGTTCAGCCCTGCGGGGGAACTTTGGAAAACGGAGCAGAACATTTTCAGAGTGATTATTCCAGTCAAGAAGGCCAGGATGCTGGGGCATTTATCCACAGCCTCCCTATCTGTCATTGGTTGATGCTGCTTTGGGGACATCAACTCTACTGTTCCCGCTCGTCCAGTGCTCGAGGCTGGTCCTGCTCCACAGGTGCTCGCTGTCACAGAACCTCAGCACTGGAGGCGAGAACCAAGGGAGCGGGGCAGGGCACGGCAGTGCCCCATGGCCAGTCTGCCTGGGAATCCCACCTTGTGCTTGTTGTCTGGAAATAATTATAAACATTCCCCCCTTTACTCTTAAAGGTGTCCTGCTCTGGAGGATTTATATGGCCAGTCTTGTAAGGAAAGGAACAGCTGCAAACCCGAGAGCCTATGCTTTCTGCCTCTGTCTAGTCCTCTATAAGCGCAGTGTGGCTTTTCTCATCAGGCTAGGAGATGCAGATACATCGCTCCTCACCAGAACCTTCTCCAGGGAGGTCCTGGGCCACTGCACCAGCATGGCGGATGGAGATTAGTAACACCCAGGCTCCTGTTTCTGGTCCTTAACATACTGAATCAGAATCTCTGGGGCTTGGGACTGAGGATCAGCATTTTTAACACCTTCTCTGGCTAATCCACACAGTAAAGTTTCAAAACTGAAGGCCCAGCAAAAGGAGACAATGAGTGTTAACGTTTTCTGAGAAGCAGCAAAGTGGGGTAGTTAATAGCAGGGCCTCTGCCCTGGCCTGAGTCAAATCCCAGCTCTGTCACTCAGTGATTTCCAGCACATTACCGAACTTCTGTGTTCCTCACTGGGGAAAAAAAAATGGGGATAATAATAGCATCTACTTTATCAGGGCTGTTATGAGGATTAGACAAGTTAATCCATATAAAGCCCTTAGAACAGTGCTGGGCACGTAGCAAACACTCGAAATGCTAGTTAGTGTTATTACTGACTTTTAGCATTATGCCAGGGATCTTACCTAGGCTGTGATATTAATCCTTAGAACAACCACACAAGGAAGGTATTATTGAGGATTTGGGGCAAATAACTTATCTGAGGCTCAGAGGTTAAACAACAAACAACAGAGTGTGTGTGGGGGGGGGGGGGGCGTTGGCTGGAATTCTATCTCATATCTGTTACATCTGCCTCCCTGTCCTTGTCA